TTTTAAAAAATCAATAGAAGTGTTGAATGCTGTGGTTGAAAAAAATGGAAATGTAGTAGTAGTTGGACAGGGAAATGGTGTGGATAGAATTATTTTGTTTGCTTTTCTAAATGGGAGAAATAACGGTATGAAGGATCACTTGATAACTGTGGTCATAAATCAACCTGTGGCCATTCAGATGTTTTGCTTCTCAGGGTCAGGTAAAGTTAAGCTTTACTGTGATTGAGGTTTGGCCAAGTAAGTACAGTGCAGAGAGGGGTAAGGAAGTTCAGACTGTGTCAAAGGGGGTGATTATCTTGACACATAATGGAATATAAACTGGATTAGGTGGACAAAAGTGAGATGAAGGAGAGTGAAAAAGTGGTAGGTAGGGCCAATGATTTAAAAGTCCCAACACAGTGAAAGTGAGTTCTAGAGAAAGGTGAATAGATAGGAGATAGTGAATAGGCAATGGGGGAAAATTGAAATCAGGATTTGGAAGGCATTTCACCTATGTTCTGGTTTAATAACATACCAACTTTATGAAGGTTATTTTTGATTTCTCCATTTTAGATATGGGGAAATTCTGTTCATAGAGATTAAATAACTTGACCAAGGGCATACAGCTGGTAAATGGCAGCGTTTGAATGAAAAATTAAATTTATTTATTTTTTAACTCCAAAGCCTTTGTGCTATACCAGCTGCCTCTGATTCATGATGGTTTCCCCTAGACAAAGGATAATAATTATTACGACTGAAAATGTTTGTATTTTATTTGTTTTACATTTCCAGGCTTATTATAGCATGCAAATTTTAAAAAAGCATTCAGAAAACATTTATAATTTATAATTTTAACATCTACTTTGTTTAAAAACAAGGGGCCTTTAAAGTGTGGTTTTAAGTGATTTTTGCTTCAATGTTTCAAAGTGCATAAGCATTCACATGTCAGCATTGAGTAGGCTGTTAGCATGGAGTGAATTTCACCTGATCCATTTACAGTACTATAAAATTTTGTCTGTGTTAAGGAGATCCTTCATTTTCCTACGCTTAAAATGATTTAAGTTGATCCCTACTTAATGATAAACAATGATGTTCTAAAGTAAAGAACTTAAGGTAATTTTGATTATCTCTACTTCAGAAAGCTTCAAGAAAATTTACTTAGGCTCTAACTTGAATTGTAGTAAGGATTTTATGGTTTAGTAGAGGGAAAAGTGACATTTTAAATTGAAGGTTTTTCACCCTAATAATTAAAATAACAATACTTATCAGACTTTCACAATACTGCAAACAAACAAAACCAAACTGCATGGGCTGTTTTTGGTTTTAATTACATGGAGCCCTTTCCAGCAGTACTTCTATATAGAGGCTTGATTGAAATAGCTGCATAAAAACCCTGAGCAGAGGGTTTTTCTTTGCTGTAATTACATTCGTGCAGTGACTCATACTTTCTTAATGCCTAGATTTTATAATTCAAAGGAAAATGTTCCCTTGAAATTTGAAAGCCTGGAAGACTCAAAAGTTGTTGTTTTTTAAAAAATTTGTTATTACTACTACTGTTACTACTACTACAACTACTAGTCCTCTGAGGAGTATTTTATTGAGGTGATTTGATTTCACTCATGCTAGCTCCAGTATTGGGGAATTTTCTCACTCGACATCAATGGAGAAAGCATCCCACAGATATCCAGCATAGGGATAGGCTGTTCTAGATTCAGGGACTTCAGCAGCAGAAACTTGAGGCTTTCACTCTGGTATTTACCACTGGTATGACTCACTTTCTTTGAAATGTCTGCTGACTTTTGACTTTGTTTCTCTTTCCTTCATCAGCTGAAAGATTTTTTTTCTGAATTTACTAGTTCATATTCCCAAGAGAGAGAACCTGGCTGCCTCTGCTAAGAAACATACCTCTGTATGGTAATGTTTCTCTCCTACTTCTGGGGAGGTCATTTCAGATTGACAGCAAGGCTGGGGGATAGTCCTTTGCAAACATCTGGCTGGTACCTGTCCCGTTTTGGGTAATAGGGTGTGTTGTGGATGCTGGAGCAATTACCAGTTTTGCCTGAAGCAGGTCTTCACCATGCAGCTTCACTATTTTGTTAGAAGCCCTTGGAAATTTGTGAAATATTTGACACACATGAAAAAAAAAAAAAGACAACTATTGATCAGCTGTACAATAGCTATTCTTTCCACCACTCTGCTTTCTTTCCCCCAATATTGTTCAGCTCTCTCTGAATAGTCACGATGTTAAAGGGAGGCCAGGGAGAATCTTGTTCCAAAGACAAATGTCCTTGTCAAAGGATTGGTTTAGGTGTGGCCATGTGATGTAATTCTGGCAAAAGATACTTGAGAAAATGAATGCTAGGAGCTTTTTTGTGAATCATTTGCTTGCTTTTGGTAAGAAATACAAGGCTTTTTTTTACCTGGGGATATTTTTTATTTGCATGAAATGCTTAGAATTACAGTAGTCATGTTATGGTCACGAGAGGAATCCGTTAAGAGGCCATCCACCATGCTGTTGGCAGGACAGAAAGTTGAACACACTCTTGGTCTTACTAGTGATGCTGAGCCACTACATGAACCAACCCTGGAACTGCTCTGATGTCAGGTGGGAAATTACATTGATACAATGGCAGCCCCTAAGTGTTCTACCAGGCAAGCTATCCCAGAGGTAGGGGAACCAAAAGTTCCCACAGACCAAATTCAAATCCTCAAATCACATGGTTTGCCAAGTCAATTTAAAGCACACAGTGAGAAGCAAAAGGAAAGAATTTGGTAGGTCAGCACGCTTGGATAGATGCAAGCAGGGTGGAGGGGGCCACGACAGCTAATCCTGCGTGCACAGTGTTTATATGTCCTGCTTCTTTTTCTGCTGCAGATGCCTTCCCTGCCGATGGTGTGGTTACAAGGACCAGAGTTGAGGTTTGGGCAAGTCTCAGAGATGGCAGGTTCCCCAAGCTAATGACGCCCACTTGCTGTATCTGAGAAACACTGGGACAAATATGCCTGGTCAGTGGCCGTGGCTTGCTCTTTAGCCCAAAACACAGTCATGAATTCTATTTGTGTTTTTTGGAGAACACATGGAGCAGGAATGAGTGTCAGCAGTTGTTCTTAACCAGGGCTATTTTGTCCCCCAGTGTATATTTAGCAATGTCTGGAGACATTTTCGACTACCACTACTGGTGCATGCTATTGGCATCTAGTGGGTAGAAGCCAGGGATGCTGCTAAACTTGCTACAATGAACAAGACAGCCTCCCAAGGCAAAGAATTATCTGGCCCAAAATGTCAATAATGTCAAAGTTGAGAAACTTGGGTTGAATTAATACCTCATGAATATTAAGTGCTTATGCATATTTAGTGTATACTGGATATTTAGTGTTTCTTGTATATTTAGTATATCATGAACATTTATTACCCAGGTGGCTTACAAATATTAGATATTTCTTGATCTTCCATCTCTATCAATGTGTAACATATACACAATGTTCTTATTATACTTACATAGCCTATGAATTCTGCACATGTCTAACAAAATGTTGCTTACTAGCTACTCATATATCCTTAAAACATCTTAGAAGGACTGAATATTCTCAAAAGCAATTTCACATTACACTAGCCCTGGAATTTCTAACAAGAAATAAGATGATAAATGTCCTGATTATTGAAGCTACTTTTAGTTGTATTTTCGTTGACTTGCAGCTTAGAGTATCCTAGCTGGTTCACACATAAAGTCAATAGGAAAAAGTATTCTAAAGATAAATGAAGCAAGAACTTAAACTACAATTATAAGTTTCCTAAATGGTAATATAAGCATCAGATACTACAGGATTGTGATTCCTACGTTAATGTTATGCTTGTTTGATTGTTCTGTTTACATTCAAGCAACTGTAGGCATGGTGTCTATCATGAGGGTTCAGTATGTTCAGAAATTCACATTTTTTTATGATTGGAACAATTTTGGTTTGGTGAACTTCAGTGCACTTTAAAAAGATTTTTTTAGTTGGCTCAATGTCTATTAATAGAGTAACGTTAGAAATTTATAGCTTCTTGTATTTTTATTAATGATAATTTTATCTATATTTTAGTGCTTTAAAAGATTATGGACATTTTATGGAAGTTGTTCTTGAGGCACTTCCATTAAAGGGGAAATTTTTTCACATATATGAAATTAAACTAAGATTGTAGAAACATTTAAAATTAATATAAGAAGATTGTTATTGAGGAGCTATTTCAAAAGAGAATTATTTTCAAATGCTGATGATATATTCCTCTTCATTTCTTTTAACTTTGTACCCTTTTTATGATGGTAACTAATATTTTCTCAAATAAAAATAACACATAAAGAAATGATAAAGTATGGTAGGCAACTAAAACTATTTGATAAAAGGCTAAAGTAAGAAAATTAAGAATAAGATGTCTTTTTGTTTTGTTTTGTTTTGAGATAGAGTCTCACTCTACTGCCCTGAGTAGAGTGCCATGGCGTCATCCTAGCTCACAGCAACCTCAAACTCCTGGGCTCAAGCGATCCTTCTGCCTCAGCCTCCCGAGTAGCTGGGACTACAGG